AATCAACCCGAAGGCGATCATCTGACTCTACTGGCAGTCTATAATTCCTGGAAGAACAATAAGTTGAGTAACGCCTGGTGCTACGAGAACTTTGTGCAGATAAGGACATTGAAGCGTGCCCAGGATGTGCGTAAGCAATTGCTGGGTATAATGGACAGGCATAAATTGGACGTGGTGTCAGCCGGCAAAAACACAGTGCGGATACAGAAAGCGGTGTGCTCGGGATTCTTCAGAAACGCTGCGAAAAAAGATCCGCAGGAGGGCTACAGGACGCTAGTCGACAGCCAAGTGGTGTACATTCATCCAAGTAGCGCGTTGTTCAATCGCCAACCGGAATGGGTAATCTATCACGAATTGGTACAGACTACCAAAGAGTACATGAGAGAGGTGACGACGATCGATCCTAAATGGTTGGTGGAGTTCGCACCCGCATTCTTCAAGTTCAGCGATCCGACCAAACTCAGCAAGTTTAAGAAGAATCAAAGACTGGAACCACTCTACAATAAGTACGAGGAGCCGAACGCGTGGAGAATATCGCGAGTTCGCAGGCGACGTAATTAAAGAACACATTTATAATCTATGTAAATATTATTCCGGTATAGTAATTTGACTTGGCGTTTCACTTTTCTGAAAGTCGTAGAGATATAGAACAAGCAAGTGCTGTAGTGCTTAGTGTTTTTATCGTTTTTATGCAACAGCTTATACCTATAGTGACAAGACTTTGTGGAACAAGCTTATACCTATAGTGATACCTATAGTGATACCTATAGTGACAAGACTTTGTGGAACAGAGAACATTTTTTTTGCACGTGTTAATATATTACGTTCTCGATACATGTAAAAAAAATACTTTTTGTTATTAGGAAATAAGGAATAAGGCAGTTTATGATACCACGAAGATATTGAATTGATTTTTATTATAATGTCATTCTGAAATTGGAGAAATGTAATGTAATCATTGAATTATGTACAAGAATGCACAGTTATAAAAAGAGAATTATTTACAGATCTCTGTAGTGTACATACTTGTAAACATTGTAAATATATAATCATATTCATTCACATCATATTAGATCTTCGATATTTTTCAACGTTTATCACTAGAGATTACTTTGATAAAGTATGGTACATTGAGTAATCAAATCTTCTTAGAGAAGAGGGCATTGTTTTAAGATTATACGCTTTCAGTCTTTCCCCTCTTAATTAATTATTAAATTTATTAAATAAATACATTCTCGATAACATTTAATATAAGATGACATAGGAAGGATTTCCCTATTTAATTTATGCTTTCTTTTCTTAAATTCATTTCTGATTTCTTTTTTATAACCCAGTTTTTTTCACGGACGCATATTCATATTACATGTAACACAGTCGACGTACCATTTGTATAAAAGAATTTGTAGGAAATTGATGATTTTTCAGACGAATTGATATTTTTTATAATCACGAAATATCACTTTTTTTTCACTTTCACACTTATGGTATTGTTTAGTAATACTATTTTTTGGCTCGACGGTACAAAGTACATTTTCGAGAAAACAGAATTCTATATAAATTGAACTATTGAGATTGCTGCTTCTTTTTCACTAATTCCACCAATTGTTTATAACGTACTTGACATTCTTCCTGTAAACAAGCAGTATAATTTTAAAATTATAACGATAGATGATTGTGTTTAAAAATTTCTATATATTCCATAAGGAGAAGTACATATAAACAATAGTACCTTTGTCTTCCCCTCGACACAATTTGCAATTTTTTCCCACCTATCTACAGATGTACCTTTGGGATATTTTGTCAGAGCCGCTTCTAATGCCCTTTGCTGTTCTTGACTCCACTCAGCAGTACTGACTGTATTTTCACTACGGGTCTTAATCTTCTTCGGTTTTTCTTCCGCAGAAACTTCTTCCACTGATTCACTAGGCTTCAAACCTTCCTCTTTCACCTAATGTAAAGTATACGCGACTCAACTTCTATAGTCGATTTATTAAGAAATAAAATTGATTGTAACAGAGTAATAACCTTCTTAGCCATGTGCGTAACTTCCGTAACGGTACGATTCATAACGCTCGCAATTTTCTCCCACCGTTCTGGAGTTCCACCAGGATATTTCTTCACATATTTTATCAATTCTAATATATCATTATCAGTCCACAAGCCACCAGCTACCGTTGACTTCTCGTAGACGTGATTCGTATAATCGCAGTCCTCTTTCTTTACAGGTTCCTTAGAATTGTTACCGCTTCTTTCTTGCGGCGTAAAACCAGACCTACGTTTCCTAACACTACGCGACGTTACTTCAGGTTCAGGCTGTTCATTCTCTTGTGCTCTGAAACAAATGTTCAAGTTTTTATGAGAAATATAAGCTATAATGAGAATTTAGTTGTAAACTTACAGTGCCTCTTCTTCCTCTTGTTTTTTCTTCTCTTTCCTCTCTTTCAAGAGTTGAATGATGAGGCGAATAGTAGAAGGTATAGCTATCACGGAACCTATTATCCACTTTGGTAATTGAAATGGAAGAGTGTTCCACATTGTTGGAATAGGAATCTTTTCTAAAATGTCAGCTAAATCTGGAATATCTATTTTGCTTTTTCTATTCTTTTTTTGCAGCTTTTGAAGTTTACTACCTAAAACTTGTTCCTGTAATCATAACAGTGTTAATTTTGATATTAATTACATAAAAAAAAGGCACGATCTCTTGGTTGTAAGGATATGTTACTCACACAAGTATACCGTTTTTCAAAATATGACGCCCAAGCTACGAGATATTGCCCTATCGTGATAACTGTGAACAAAATAAGACTCATCTCCAATAATCCCATTTTTCTGACACGACGATAATAATACACCGCCGATCGCCAATTGGGCAGTCCATTAACAAGAACATTATCATACTTTTGTCGCTTTCCAGGATCTTTCAAAATGTCATAAACAGCAACTAACTGAAAGGGAAATTCAAAGATGTTAATTCAAGAACTTCACAGCATGTCACATATCTTTGAGTTTTTAAAGTACCTTCCTGAACTGCAGCTCTGCATCTTCCGCTGGATTTTTATCCGGATGCAGTTGCAACGACAGGCGCCTGAAAGCCTTCTTGATCTCCGAGGCATTTGCAGACTGAAGAGAAAAACAATTTACGTCAATCTTAATCAGGCTTGCTGCTCTGCGCGTATATATTCGCGCAATTATATCAACATTGCGAATGTACATTCGAACATATGTGCAAGAAAATACCTGCGTAACGCCCAGTACATCGTAGAAATTTTGATTGACTTCCTCGACCACGTCAAACACCTCCAGCTCATCGTTGTCCCATGCGTAGGAGGACCTAAACACGTCCAGGAAGCAAAGGACTCCCAAAACGACCGATAGTAGATTCATCTTCGTATACCGCATGCAGACATAATTACATATAATACACGCGCATTTCTTCTCGGTGCACTATGCGAATTATCCGTATTCTAAGACATAATGTCACTTCTTCATCCTGAGTCAGCACGAAAGCAGGTTAGAAGTCCTCTTTTTGCCGCAGGTGCCACATTGTCAGATTACCGCTCGTGTCTCCGCTCGTCCCGCACGTTCGCCGAGATTACTCGCGATTGCGGAAATGTCGGAATCACTACTCGATACGCGTAGAATCGCGAGAATCGACTTGACGCGTAGAGCATTTTCAACAATTTGCAAAAATTGATTACCGCCAGTAAAAAAAAGCAAAATTATTCTTGTTTTTCTCCTTATTTTTTCTTCTCATTTTTCTTCTGGTAAATATTTATTTTAATTGTCTCACCTTTAATTTGGATAAAAATACATTCACTGTATATATTTGGCGTAAATTTAATTTAATTTAATTTATTTATTATGTATTCAAAGAGAATTACATTTAAATAGGGTGAAATAAATATAAATATATATAATATACATATAAGTAAAAACAAAAGTGATGCTGGAGTCCCATGAGGCGTATTCGTCGCGTAACTGCGTAACCAATCAAAAACGATCCGCTGTTGTGATCAGCTGTGATCAGCCGGGTAGAAAACTGACCAATTAGAGTCGATTGTTCTTCTCGTATTCGACTGTGATTGGTTAATTTTCTACGATTTAAGATCCTACGACCGCTACGACTTCTATTGTAGACCCCGCATTAGTCCGGATCTACAATAGATGTTTTAAGATTTAAGCCGTAAGAAATTGATCGATTACCCCGGATCTACAATAGAATTTTAAACCTTAGGGCCCTGGTACACAAAAAACTTAAGGCAGTAATGCGGTGTCTATAATAGAAGTCGTAGCAGTCGTAGGGTCTTAAGTCGTAGAAAATTGACCAATCACAGTCGAATATGAGAAGAATAATCAACTGTGATTGGTCAATTTTCTACGATTTAAGACCCTACGACCGCTACGACTTCTATTGTAGAATGGGCTTTAGACGTAAGCAGTAAGGAAATCAACATGTTGGATTCGCTACTGCTTATGTTATGGCCTTATGGACTCTACTGTGATTGGTCAATTCGCTTACTGCTTACATTTTACTGCTTAAGTTTTTTTTGTGTGCTATGGGTCCTTAAGCCATAAGAAACAGACGAATCATAGTCGATTATTCTCCTCGAATTCAACTGTGATTGGTCAATTTCTTAAAACCCTATTGTAGTTCCGGGATTACAGTCGAATCCGAGGGGAATAATCGACTGTGATTCGTCCGTTTCTTATGGCTTAAAACTCTTGTAGATCCCGCTCACTGAACGTTCAGTGAACTCTTGCATCTGATTGGCATATTCCATTAGATCTAAAAATATAGACCAATCAGATACAAAAACTCACTGAGCGCTCAGTGAGCAGTCGCGCTTTTGAAATATTCTGAATGCACCCATTTGTTGATGGTGGTTATCAATAGGAGAAACCGTTATTTAAGATGGATCTCGAAGTCATTGGTGAAATACGAATTTTTAATGAGGGATACAACAATAGTCGGAATGTGAGAGGTACCGCTCGCTCGAAAGTCAGGCATGAACCGTTCGAATGTATCATCTTTATGCGCTGTTATTTCACAGATTCCAGGAATTCGCACGAAATATAAGAGAACATAACCTATGAGGCCACTTGTGCGCACTCACGTACACATTTCCGGCTGGATAGTGGCAAAGATATTGCTTGTTCAAAATGTTGGAAGGACTCGTTGCGTGGGTGCTGAACAATTATCTCGGCAAATACGTGGAAAATTTGAACACAGATCAGCTCAGCATTGCCTTGTTGTCGGGTGAGGTTATGTCACACTACGCATTTTTACTTTCGCTATAAAAGTCTTATAGGCTTGCTGTAGTGTTATACAGAATAATATATATTTGAAGAATAATTTGTTAATTGGTTCGTTTTTATAGCTAAATTAATGTACACTTTTCGAATTTAAAATGAAATAAATGTGTTTGACAAAAATGAGAAAGTTGTATAAATACAGTTTAATACAAAAATAAAGAATAGATCTAAAATTTGTCATTTCTCACAATATCGCTGTTTCGACATACACTATTAATATTGAAAATCTGTAATATGTATATATATATATATATAACATGAGCTACAGATTTTTAGATATATAGACTGACAGTGTATATATATATATATGTGTGTATATATATATCAGAACATGTGTACTAGTTTATAACAGGGAATAAGTTCATTATGTGTTTTTTCTGTTGTCTCTTTAATATTATTTTTATATAAAAGAAGATTAATGTTATTACTGTAGTTATAAGTTATTTTCTTAATGGATATCTATTTTATATTAGGGGAAGTTGAACTAGAAAATTTACCTCTGAAACGCGAGGCTCTGCGTCATATTGGACTGCCAATGGAAGTCAAGGCTGGGTTTATTGGTAAAATTAGATTACAAGTACCAGTCAGACAAATAAGAACCGCATCATGGGTGATAGGTATAGAACAGCTCTATTTAGTAGCAGGACCAATTAATTTGGATGAGGTAAAAATGATGATTTTGTTTTTTATCATCTTAGATATTTTAATAGATTTTCAATAATGCTGACAGAGATTATGTAAATATATAGATGCATTTATGTTGTACATATATTTCAATATATATTGATGAGTTTAAAAACAAATGTCTACAGTATGATAATGAAGCAGAGGAACAAGCAATACTAGAATATAAACTCAGTCGACTAGACGCTTTGGAAGCTAGAGGGAGAGCCGATATTGAGCATGATCCTGGTTATTATGCCTCAAGTTACAGTTCCTGGCTAAATTATGGCACGTCTCTAGTAACAAATATTATAGAAAATTTACAATTGAATATCAAAGATGTTCATATTAGGTATGAAGATGGTATTACACTACCAAATGGTAAGCAAATAGTTATATATATATATGCATATATGAATATAATATGTGAACAAAAATTTATTTGTTAAATATTGATATTTACTATGTTCCTCTAATAAAATTTTTGATCTTTTTGTATGTAGATAATGGCATTGCATTTGGTATTACAATTGGAGCATTAACTACTCAAAGTTGTGATGCTAGTTGGATACCCTGTTCCACATCTTGGAATCTTACGGATGCATCATTTAAGTTAATGGAACTCGATAGTCTTTCGGTTTATTGGAATCATGTGAAAAAAGATCAACTTTTTGGTGGTCTTAATCTAGGCGATCTAGCTGTAAGATATATAAAGCTCAGTGAACGTGATAACGTGTTAATAACACATTCGTACACCTATATTTTATAATAATACTTTATAATCTTGATTTTTAGATCGCCATGAGTAAAAATAAGATTCATCGGCACATTTTATCTCCCGTGAATGCAAGAGCGCACATTAAGAGAGATCGAACTGAACGTCCATTGAGATCTATTAATAAACCGCGTATCGTAGTAGATTTGCTCTTGGATGAAGTACCATTATCTATAACAGATGTGAGTTACAGATAATGGTAACTGGTACTACAATTAAACATTGATTCATGCAATATAATTTGAATTATTTTCTTAGCTTCAATATGAAGAGATGGTGAAGTGTATCAAAGAGCTTGACCGCATAGATCGTCGTAAACAACAGTGGCGTTGTAGGCCAGTAGTTCCTGTTAAAACAGCTTGCAAGGAATGGTGGAAATATGCCGCCAGGTGTCATCTTGGCAGAGATGCACTCAAACCGAAACCGTCCTGGAAAAATGTACTTCTCAGAGCTAGAGAAAATATTTGTTACGTTCAAGCGTATGCTAAATTGTTAGGTACAAATGAATATTTTTTTAATAGCTTCAATAAGTTTTCATAATATGTCTTCTTGAAACAATGAAAATTTGCTTTCAAATTTTTTTTGCTAGGTACACCTACCTCGATCTTATCTGCGGAAATAAAAACATTAAAGGAAAAAGTCGAGAACGAGCGAAATTTTGACGAGCTTCGGGTATTGAGGGAACTGGCTATGGAGAAAGTGAGACCTGCAAAGTCACAACAAGAATCTAATATGAATGTGCCACAAGGACGCGGCATGCTGGAACAATGGTTTCCACAGTGGTGGGGCTGGTACTCAAAGACACCTCACAGCAGCAATGGAACGCAAAACGGAAGTAGCTCGACTACTTTCGACGGGGAATTGCTAGACGTTTTAGCGGACACCATGAACGATGATACTCTTCTACGTCGCGACACAGTGTTCGGACAATTTAATTTCGCTCTGGTGCAAGGCGCGGTATCGTTGTGCACTGAGAAAGATGAAAGCAATGGCAGAAAAACTGTGATAGAATTGAAGTTCGAAAGAGTGAACTTGAGCTATGAGTCACGACCCAGATCCGGGTCGCACAAGTTTTCAATTAGTTTGGGCGCATTGTACCTGCATGATTTTCTCACGGAGAGTTCCACATTTCCTATTTTGGTGCAACCTCAAGTTGCATCCAATGGCATATCCTCGCGCGTCCGCAATTCTTCGGAGAAACTAACGAAGACGCCGCATCATTTATTCGAACTGATTTACGAGAAAAGACCGCTGCATATTAATGTAGATCATTTATTACACGTGTACTCACAGTCCTTAGATATTGTGTATAATCCGACCGTGATATACTGGCTGATAGATTTTATGTGTAAACCACATCGATCGGTATCGTCCAATCAGCGATTCCAGGCGATGAAGCGTCGCACGAGGAGGCAGTTGATCAAGAATTGGGAACAGATTTTGGACGGCGACTTTGTGTATCGTTCGTCTTGGGATCTACAGTTTAAGATCTCTGCACCACAAATCTTATTGGTGGAGAGCTTCGTCGATTCCAATGCGGCCGTGGTGATGGTCGATTTTGGAAAGTTACATTTATCGAATGATGCAAATCTGAATCAGGTGATACTGAAAACAGAATCGACTAATAGTGATGACGAAGATGAGAGATTTGAGACACCTTGCTCCACTCCGCCCGGAAGCCAAGAGAACGGCTCCTTACATGATTTCCAAGGCCTGTCTGAGACAGAGTTGCACAAGAAATTGTACGATCAATACTCTATCGATCTGGTAGATCTGCAGATTTTAGTGGGTAAGACAAAGGATAATTGGAAGCACGTTCGCACGAGAGGTATGTCAAGCTTGCACTTTCTCGAACGTTTCAACATATCGTTGCAAGTCGAACGACGTGTCTTTACTACTTCAGATCCCAATTTTCCATCAGTCACAGTATCTGGTAATCTACCGAGACTGGTAGTGCATGTAAATGAGCAAAAGGTGGGCGCAATACGCTTAATTTATAACTTACTGTCGAGTTTCTCTAACTCTGCCGGCATCCCGCAAACAGAAGCCGTTATAGAGCCGAAGAGTCCTAGAAAGGAGGAAAATTTGGATCGTTCCTTGAGCCATGCGGTAATGGTACAATTTATTATCGATCAGATGGCCTTTGAATTGCAATCGAGGGGTCGCAGTGTGGCAGAGCTGCAAGTGTCCGGAGTTCGGGCAGCCCTCAGTAAACGAATGGCAGATCTAAGCGTCTCCCTTTCCGTCCACGGCCTGCTCTTGGTTGATGCTCTTCAAGAATTCGGGCCCGATTTCGAACTGCTGGTGGCCAGCCACAAGCACGTCGGCATGGACAGCGTTTCCGGTAGATTAAGGGATTCAGAGCCGACGTCACCTGTCTCGCCAGAATCACCCGAGTCACCAGATTCCACGAGACCACCGCGATTGACGTCGCCTGTCGCCTTGACCAATGCCTTGTCCACTTTGGTGAGCAAAACTAAGACCTTGTTTTCGCCTAAAAATAATTCATCGGTTTGTCTAGAAAAATTGGATTCAGAAGCGCTAATTGTCGTGGAATTAACGCTGTTAGATGACCCTACGGAAAATTTGAGAATGGCGAATATACAGTTCAATAATTTGGATATCATTGCTAATCAGGAGACGATAGTGGAATTGTTAGGTTTCTTCCGAAGAATCTTGCCACTGCAAAAGTCGCGATCGGCCTACGTTGCGAGCCGAGACGATTCGTTGTCAAGTCAAAGTACAGAAGTAAGGTCAATGTCAACGAGAACCGAAATCACCTTTGACTTCCATCGCTTGAATGTGTTACTTTTGCGCGCGGTCGTGCAAGATAATCACTTGGTGGGGCAAAAAATTGCCACGGCGACTATGTCTGATGCGCGTATACAAGCGACTTTAGCCGCTAACACGTCAATCTCAGGCTCTCTCGGTGGAGTACAGGTTCTTGATCAAACGCCAACCGGGAAGACTCATCAACGGATAATCAGCGTGGGTAGGGATCCTCTGGCTGATCCGCCATATCACCCGCTTGAGCACTTTAGTAGTCTATCTGATCAGCCAGAGGCGTTCAGATTTGTTGCCAATCGCAACACTAGGCAAGCCGATGAGGAAGACTGCGTGGAAATCGATCTCGATCTCACGATACGCGTGGCCAGCGTCTGGTACACTCATGCGCCGCATCTGATATCTGAATTACGTTCGTGTGCTGATGAATTCAAGCAATACTTAAGCAACTTTGCACGCCAAATTAGCGCAGCAGCCACTGATATGGCAATTGGTCTGGTGAATGCCGACGATTGGACTATCCCTCCGCGTAAACGATTGCCGAGCGTTTCGGTTGATCTAGATAATGCGAATGCATTGTCGCTGAGATTAGACGTACTTCTAGAAAGCCCGGTACTCGTAATACCACGTTCCTCACATAGCAGACAAGTATTCGTTGCTCATCTCGGTACGATGTCGTTGCGACATGAACCTCACTTGAGATCCATGGCGAAGCACAAGATCACATTGGAAGTGCGCGACATGAATCTGTATTCTCTCGAAGTATCTGCCAATGTTGGCCAGTCTCAAAACAATCTGCCGAGAGCCGAGGAGATGTACTCGTGTAAGGAGTTGGGCAAACCGATATTGCACGACACAACGCTGAAGATCTTGGTAGAGAAGCAAAACACCTTAACGCAAAGCATGAGTTTCCTACTCGACGGCGATTTTACGAACAACAGTCCAATTGTGCAGGTCCATGGTGCTGTGATAACACCGTTAAAAGTATCGTTGTCACGTGGTCAATACGAGCAATTACTCGATACCACTCATCGATTATTCTCCATGCCTGCTGTGACTGCCACAGCCGCAGTATCGGAATACGATGATTTTGATGGGGTGTCCGACTACTCGGAGAAACTCGATCTCTGTGTGAAGGTCTCGTTCGAGCTGCCGATCCTCAGCGTGGAACTGAAGCAGGCGCATTCGGAGCAGCCGCTGGTGGAGTTGTCAATGCGTGACTTTGTTGTCAAGTATGACAAATTACATCGAAATGAGTCCAGTGTGCAGGTCGCACTGCGCTCCCTTTTGATGGAGGATCTTCTGTGCCCAGTCGGCTCACGGCATCGTTACATGATGCAATCGTCAGCACCCACACGCGCGAAACTGCCTACCGGTGTTTCCAAATCGTGTCCAGATCTAGCGTTTCTGCGACAATACAAGAACGCCTTCGGACGTGGTAGTCTGCCGGATCGGTTAGAGACCTACACTCTATACGATGCGATTCCGGCGCATTGGCGCAGGAAACCGGCGGTCTCGGCAGCCGACACACCAAACACGCCACCGCCATCTCCAGGCGGTATCACCAGTGAAGAGAACTTGGTGCTGATGAGCATCACCATGACGAATCCCGAAGAGAGCGGTTGTATCACACCGGAAGATCGGTTCCATCGCAAAATGGTAACCGTGGACTTCAATTGTCTGGACTTAGTGATAAGCGTGGAGTCATGGATGGTAGTGTTTGACTTCTTTGGGATTGCAGGCTTGTCTGGGGCGACGAGTGACGAAGTCGACGCGCATCGAGCTACGCCGGACAGCGATAACACCGGCGCGAGTAAGGTAGACGACAATTTCCCAGTGAGATCAGAAACGGAGATAGAAGTGAGATCGTTGACGCTAGTGCTGACGCAACAGGAGCGTGAGATAGCCAAGGCCAATGTGTCCAACGCCAGCATGCATATTCTCAAGACGGTTGACGGCAAGACCAAGGTATCAGGATCTTTAGGTTCAATGTCATTGCTGGATCTAACGCCGCACGGTCGATTCTACCGTGAGAGATTTCTATCGTCCGGTAGGAAAGCGCTGAACTTCCAGTACTCGAGTTACGCCGACTGTGAGGATCGACCCCATGATGCACGACTGAAGCTAGAAATGTCTGCTGTGCATTACGTTCACACTCAAAGATTCGTGGCGGAGTTACAGGCTTTCTTCGGTCATTTCTCACAATTGTGGAGCATCATGCGAAATCTACGGGCCGGCGTTGGTGCTGTAATAGATATGAATAAGCGTGACACGCGATTGTCGTTGCAATTGCACGCTGGTGCGCCGGTGATATTGTTACCAGTAAGTTCTAGGTCCGACGAACTGATCCTATTGGATCTGGGAGAGCTCACAGCACACAATAGATTCGACACCTCGTTAGTTGTTCCAGATTGTTTACTAGATGTGATGCTGCTCGAGTTGGTCAATATGGATGTGTATGCGGCGAGGCGACTCAAATGTGATTCTCTAAATGAGGACACGGATGCCTTGATGGTAGGTGGCTTTCTCGTTAAGAAGATGGGCTCTTCGTTGCTCACAGAAAAGTGTCATCTGAAATTACGCGTCGAACGGAATCTTGACACTTACATCTGCCGCGATATACCCGATCTCAGCGTGCATGGTATATTGTCGACGATGGATTGTGCCCTGGATCCGGAGCAGTACATGCTGATTCGTGGCCTTCTATCGTACAACATCGGCGAGAATTTAGACGATCTGCGCCTCCTTGTGCAAGATTTGAATCACACGGTGGAATACGCGATTTCGACTATAGACAATCGCGCAAAGACATGGACCCGATCCTGCATAATTCTCGAGCTGGTAAACGTGACGGTGAAACTGCATCCGAGTCACAACATTGCGGCGCTTGCATGCATCAATTTTATCAAGTCCCGACTGACGCTGGACTCGCTGAGCGACGGTTCACAGGACATCGATCTGGTGTCGCAGGAAATCCTGATCACCGACACGCGTTTTCAGAACGAACCGGTAGATCGACAGTGCAACGTGTTTACGCGAATCCTACAGCCATTGAGAGATACAGCTGACACAGAGGCCGAGCAGGACCGTGTCCAGGCGGAGGTGCATCATCGGAAGCGTAAGGCTTATGCGGCTACTACTATTCTGTTGCATAGCATGCGACTGACCGCTATCCTAGACTGGTGGCAGGCCGTACGAGATTTCCTGTTGCTGAACTCTCCGGAACCGGACCCTATACTTAGCTCCGTGTACGTGTCAATTGTCAATCAAGAGACCGAAATCATTGACACCGCTGAAACCGCCGTACCATTTGAACTGAAAATTAACATCACGGATTCCGAGCTGGTTATCGTTGAGGACACCGCGATTCTTGACACCAATGCCGTGATTCTCAAAACAACTGCCATCTTATCGTACCGTTCTACGCCGCAAGAAGGCGAGAAGCCGCTTTCATGCAATCTCTCGCATTGCGAGCTGTTCTCATGTATCTTGGGCCTGGAAAATGAAACTGCTCTATCAATCATCGATCCAGTCGGAGCGAGCTTGGATCTGACTCAAGATAAGTGTTTGGAGATTCAACTGCAACCATTGTGTGTGAGATTAAGCTACCATGACGTGACCATGTTCTCTAGAATGTTAAGCTCTCTACCCAAACAGACCTTATGGGCGAGGCAGAGATCGATCGAAGCGGTGATGAAAAGCAGCCAGACTACGGGCAGCCCGGTGTTGAAGCTCACTTGTTTAGGTTTCGCAGAGGCCGATTGTAGAATCGCATTGGACCACTGTGACGGTCAGTTAGATGATGCCGCTATGTGGCTAACGCAGAATGCGGTGCCGACAGGTGCCGTCGCAGCGAGCGACGATTCAATTTTTCGAGCCATAGAACTGCAGGTATCCTGCATGCGGATCTGTATCATCGACGATTGTCGCGACGCAGATGTGCCGCTTCTGGAAATCACTTTAGCGGATTTTAATATGCGGAAGTTGAGCCAATATCCTGGCTTTCTCTCTGCCACTATCGGCGTGGATTATTATAATCGAGTGCTGAGTGGTTGGGAACCATTCATTGAACCTTGGAGAGCGAACATTGAATGGGAACAGAGATTTACTAGTTCGTTCGATCCAAAGAGACTACACGTGTTCATTAACTCCTATGATTCTGTGAACGTTAATGTCACACTGACGTTGGTTGAACTCGTGCAACTAGTCAAACACAACTGGACGCAGGATTACTATCTGTCTAATGAAAACACGATTGTCAGCAAATCGGTGACGAGGGGACAAATGTATCGACGTCGATCGCCTTTTATACCTTTCGCTCTGAAGAATGACACTGGCTGTCGGCTTTGGTTTAAAACATTTATCGCTACTTCGGACGAGACGGCAGATGTTATTAAATCATCATCTCAAACGAAGAATAACCTAGACAAGGACGACACGTGGATAGAGGTGATTCCGGGAGACACCACGCCATTTACTTTCGAAGAGAGAGGTAAGCTGAGGCATCATGCGACGCATATTGTCAGAAGACACCAGATTGCGGTTCAGGTCGAGGGATGGAAACCGGTGGATCCTGTGACCGTCGATCGCGTTGGTATTTACTTTCGACACGCGAATGCTAACATTGCCGGATTTCAGGTAAGATGACATTATTTTATACTCCTATTTCATATTTCTTACATTTGGATTAAAACAAGCAGTGTTATATGTATTTATCATCCTGTAGTCTTTGTATAGCTTTTTGTGCTGTCTATATTATATATATCTTGTTATTTTACAAATTTTTATTAAAAAATTTTAATTATTTTTTCTAATATCTCATATTATCTCATACTTTTTTACTATATACTCTCGTATATATTTTCAATTGCTCAAAAAGAATTCAATTTGGAGCATTGTATTAGTATTATAAATATTATTATAGTAATAATAATACAATTATAGCAATAACAGTACAATACATAGTAATAGTACTAGTAATACAATAATAGTACTAGTAATAGTAATAATAATAATGTTCATTTTCAGCCGATCATATCGAAAACTAGAGTCGTATTTGCTGTGGAACTTGAAGGATCCGCCAGGAAATTAGTTACTATTAGATCAGCTCTTCAGGTGTCCAACAAGCTAGCTCACCCAATTGAGATTAAAATGGAGAAATCGTTAAACACATTAAACCAACTTGGATGTCAGTTTTTTATCTTTCGCAATTTTTGGTGACGATCAGCAAATCTATATCAATTATTGTACCCTTTTAGACTTGCCGCTGACATCAGTTAGCACTGGAAGAATTCTGCAAGTGCCAGCGCAATCAGTAATGTCTGTGCCTTTGACGCACACCGGGGTGCAAATGTGTTTCAAACCACTTATCTCGAACTACTTGTTCCAATATTGCATGGAATCGGTGAACTGGACGGTAGTTAAGAAGCCGTTAGAGATAATGGAGAACTACGTCACTTGCCGGACTAATCAAAACAATATATTCAGGTAAATGAAAGAGAAACTTTTCCCTCGATGAAGCTAGCGAAACTTAATATTTTCTGTTGTCATAGGATGTGCGTGGCTGTCAGACGAAATAATTATCCTCCTGACGGTATGCAAGTGTTGCCGGCACACACGATTACGGTAATGGCACCCATAACATTAACGAACTTACTGCCATACGAATTGATATATGAAGCAGGTGTAGAAGGTGGTAGAATCATGCCTGGCTGCAGTGCGGATTTACATTGCGCAAATTTGAACGAACAACTGGAAATTACGATTCAATTGGATGGTTATCCAGGATGCGGAGTGGTAAGTGTGACAACTAATAACTGTGTAGTTTTACCATATCGAATTTTATTCTTTATTTCTTGCGTTAATTAATAGTAAGTAACTTAACGATAGATAATAATCAAGCACAATTACATATTTCAGATAATACTGCCACCAAACAGCTCATCGTATACTGCTCGTCTCAAATTATTGGATACCCTCAGCAGAATGCTTTACCTGCAGGCAACTGTAACCGTGGAAAAAGGTGCAGCCATGCAAATCAACATGACTGCACCTTATTGGATCATAAACAAGACCGGCTTGCCGTTGGTGTTCAGACAAGAGGGAGTCGGTATCGAGGCTGCGGGACAATTTGAGGAGCACGAGAGGGCGAGGATGGTAGCGCCGTTGCTATTCTCGTTCAGTGACGAAGAAGCCAGTAGAACTTTGTCGGTCAGGATCGGGACGGAAGTTCATCCTCATGGAGTCCCACAGTGGTCTCAACATTTTCACTTGCAGCCTGGAATTCACGTAAGTATATCTCATGTAAAGTTTTTATTTCGATTTTTATTGTAACAACTTCAATATTTTATCAATAAAATATTAAATTATACATACACATGCTTTTGATGTTTAATTTTTTCATAATTAGGTAACTTACTTTCTGATACACACAAAAATAAATTCATGAAACTTGTTAGTATTTTAATCATTCTAACGATGATTATATATTTACGTTGTATAGGTTCATCGCTTGAGAATCAGTTTACGCGATGGCAGACCCGATATAGTCTACTTGATTAGCGTGGCTACTCGCACAGCAAGAGGAAGATACAGAGCCACTACAGTGGTTACATTATCACCGAGGTATCAATTGCACAATAAGTCATCTTATACATTGGAGCTGGCACAGGAATGTTTCACGACAACTATCGTAAGTTTGTTACAATTAATTACGGTGATGTCAAAAAGTGATAACTTGTTGTTCTTAATGTAATATTGATTTTAGTCCAATCCGGATGCTCAGGCTACATATATAAAGACTATGCCCGACTGTCACATGCCCTTTCATTGGCCACGACTGGACAAAGATTTATTGCTCTGCGTCAGGATCACCAACGTTCGAGATTGTATGTGGTCAGGCGGTATCAGATTGGATGATAATTATTCATTGACTATTAACGTCAGGGACATAACAGGGAAGATGCATTTTCTACGTGTAGATGTAGTGCTGCAGGAAACTACCTTCTTCATTGTATTTACTGATGCCGATACTATGCCACCGCCTATAAGAGTAGACAATTTCTCGGAGGTTCCTTTGAAAGTTAATCAGGTACATCTATATCATTTGAATTCCATGTATAAATTATGATATTAATATTTATATTGGGTTGCTATTATTTTTATGGCTAATGTTTATTATTTGCAAATCTGTACTTGTAGATCGAAGTTCCTGACAGTCTACGGTGGACCGTGAGACCCCATTCATCGGTACCATATGCCCTAGATGAACCAATAAAAACTGCCGGTTTAGTGCTGACAGCACCTGGAGACGTAACAGCTTCTTACGATTTAAATAAATTGGGAGAGGGTAGAGGACTGACTTACGAAAACTTTATTTATATTGCATTCATGGGTACTATATTTTAAACAGATAAAATAAGAACTAAAATATGTATACATAAATACTGATTTCATACTTTTATTATGATAGGTACTTTCAAAACCGATTCCGATCTTGGGACAAGCGAAAGCAATTTAGATCCTCTGGATATAGAAACTCAGAGACTTGTCTTAGAAGCTGGTTCCGGTGGTTGGGTTGCCCTTCGGAGGAAACAGTACGGTGACAGGGCACAGCTTTGGAGAATGACCGGAGATGGACAATTGCAACACGAAGGTAATATAAGAATATCAATACAAATAATTATTTTCAACATAATTTGTACAAAAAGATGATAATGTACTTTGTTTTCATATATTGTATAAAATTTTAATTGAGACAAAAAAACACAGGCTCCAGTCCACCAAGAGACAAACATTCTAAAACTCCGGACACAATATTCGTTTTGGACATAGCAGGCACGGCACCGCAACCATTCACCTATTGCGCTCTTGCCCTGAGGAAACCGGATCCTAGGCGACGATCGACGCAGACCTGGCAATTCACTGACGACGGGCGTCTATGCTGCGCGCATAAGAATATGTGTGTTCAGTTAAAAGATGGCTTTATGGGACTATACGAAGGTTGGAACATTCTTTTCATTTGCACGCTGATTATTAAATTGACAAAGATTGTTCGCGAAAGTTATGAATTTTTTTTATCACGCGCTTTATCGTGAAATATATTTTCTGTTATTTTGTGTTACTTTGAATTAGTTCAACATATCTCTTATTTGCAAGTTAATTATCATTTTTGCGTGTGTGATGTATATCTAATGCTTCTGCCTGTAAATGCAAAGCATAAAACATAGTAAGTTGAGCGTACGGTATCGTTGAAATTGACAAAATGATTTGAACATTTAATGAAAAGAACATTGATGACAGATGCGCACTTATTTTACAATATTATATTTTATATTCTACAGTTTTGTCTGCCGATTATCTAAATTTATCGTTGTTAGGAATCCTGAATTTTTTTATCCTTATATTCATTACTCCTTTCTCGCTATTTACAACTAGAGAGACCTAAATTGATCATAAATGTTGCAGGCGGCAGTGTCGCCCGTTGGCAAATGTGTACGTATAGTTTCAAAGTACACATTAAAATTGGCTGTTTCCTTATCCTGCTCATAAGTATTATAATAAGCTATAATGTATCTCTGCTTGTTTTATCCCTTTTTTTTTTCTTAAGCATTGCATATCTTTCCAGGAACGTCAAAGCGCGATATAAAAAAAAGAAATCTTTTTCTATACAAAGTCTTTCGAGAGAAAAGAATACATTGTTTTCCGAATAAAATTTTTACAAATAAAAATAAAGTTGTCAAATAACTTGTGAAATTAGTCAATCACGGCGTTATCGTACTCTGGCGTACAGCGCTTTTGCATTCGTAAATTTTTTTAGTCGTACAATTTTATCGTGAATATTTTCATGCACAGTAAAAGGAACATCGTTGTTTTTAGGGAGTGAAGCTGTATTAGGTCCTGAAACACATGGCAATCCACCATCGATCCAGCAACGTGTGGGTAGACAAAAGTTGCGACCAGGTTCTGGATTCTTGTCAGTCAGAGTGACTACTGACGGCCCGACTCGCGTTCTGCAAGTTTTGGATATCAAGGAGAGGGTGTGTGTCTACTTTACAATTTGATTTATTTTTATATTAGTCATCTATTTTATTAGATTATTCTGAACATTATTATTCATATAACAATGCAAGAAATAAAGCCTTGATGACATTAAGAATAAATCTTTTTGCGTTTTAGAAGAAAATGTTTGCCTTACTCGAAGAACGCGATTGGTCACACATCGCCGTAAGTCATCGGCCTACCCAGATCAATGCCGATATTAAAAAATTGAATTCTAGCGAATTAAAACTGAAGCTGAATTTGCCGGCCGGCCTCGGATTGTCTATCGTATCGCAAAGGCCGGTAGAAGAGCTGTTGTTCGCGCGGCTGGCTGAAATCTCCTTAGATCTAGTGCAGACCCCAGTGAATACTACATTGGATCTGAGCGTCGCTGACGTGCAAATTGACAATCAACTGTTCGAGGCACAATGCACTTCGGTTTTATTTGTGACACGATCATCTCATACTGAGGACGAGCATCGACCCGCCCTTCATTTAGCGATGGAAAAGTTACAATCAAAGAATCAGAATGCCGAAATTTATAAACATGTCGTAGTGAGCGTCAAACCTTTATGCGTACACTTAGAAGAAAAATTTATCCTGAAACTGGCAGCTTTCCTCGGAATTGGCAAATCAGAGTTGGAAGTACCTGTCGATGAGAACGATTTCAAGGCACAAAGATTTATTTCCGAGGTGTCTGCTGCACATGCTAAGAGATATTACTTTGGCGCTCTGAAACTTGTTCCTAATCAAGTATGTAAATATCGATATGATAGATGATTATTTTTTCTTTTACATGAATATTACTAATGCACTATTCACACACATGATGTACATATGAATTATTCTTTCTTTAGGTAAAACTTAGCGTGCTTACTACAACGAAATTGCCACATCATCTGCAAGCTGTAAAGAGGAAATTAGGGTTGACTCTAATTAACTTTGAGAATGCCACTATCGAGTTAGAGCCGTTTGTCAAGAAACATCCTTTTGAGAGTAGTCAATTCCTAATACATTCCATCGTAAAGCATTACAAAGATGTATGATGATTATAGATTGTAATATATAACTCTTCGCTTGTGTATTGATTTAGTAAATAAATGCCATGATATTTTAGGAATTAAAATGGCAAGCCGCAGTTATTCTGGGTTCCGTGGATTTCTTAGGAAACCCTCTTGGATTCATGAATGACGTCACAGAAGGTGTTTCTGGCCTTATTTACGAAGGCAGCGTGAAAAGTCTAGTGAAGAACGTCACGCACGGTATTTCAAATTCGGCAGCAAAAGTGACGGAATCTCTGTCAGATGGTTTAGGAAGAGTGATTATGGACGAAAGACACGAAGAGGCCAGACAGAGGATTCGCGCTAACACTACGGGCAGTAGCGATCACTTGGTAGCCGGCTTGAAAGGTTTCGGTTTTGGTCTACTTGGTGGTGTTACCAGTATATTCAAACAAACATACGATGGAGCAACCAGCGAGGGTTTTCCAGTAAATATTTTAAAATAAATTTGATTCTTTGAGTAAATATTATTTGTAGAACTTAAATAAAGCTAATGGATAATGTAAAATTTCAGGGTTTTTTCGCGGGTTTGGGAAGAGGAGTAGTAGGTACAATAACGAAACCCGTCGTTGGTGTGTTAGATTTGGCAACAGAGACAGCTAGTGCTGTACGAGAGACAAGTAGAAGGTAATATATTACGTGATTCTATTATGTTGTCATATTTGTGTTTTTCTGCATTGTGAATATCTCTTGATATTTGATAAATTCTTTTTCATAGCGCTCACCGTGCAATACCAAAACGTGACCGACCGCCGCGTGTCGTCAGTGGTTCTACCGGATTGCTGCCGCCGTACAATCGTCAGCAGGCCGAGGGTCAGGAGTTCCTGTACAGCATTAACAATCGCGACTATTCCGAGCTTTTCGTTGCTTACGAGTGTCTGTGCAGCGGCTCGGAGAATCTTAAAGTGTTGGTTTCTAATGAGAGAGTACGCGTTATTTCTGGCGGCACGAAAGCGGTGGTGACCCAAGTAAGCTTGGCGGATCTTCTCTGTTGTCAGCCGATGCAAAAGGTTCAAAGCAACAACATCACTCTGCATTACATAGAGTTGATATCCAGATTCGATTCGTCGGCCGCAGTCAATCTAGATGGATTGGCCGAATTATTGAGACGGCCAAAAGTGCGCTGTGACAATGAAGAGGTGGCGAAGCGGGTAAGTTATAAACGGAGTGTAATTTTAAATTGCTATAAGTATTTCTCTTTTTTTTTTTATTGCGACTGAACAAGGCTCTCAATACATTATCATTTATTAACTCATTTTCTTCATGATTGTAGGTATCGCAACAAATCAATTATGCCAAGGGGATGCATGAAGAACGAAGTTTGACGTTGTCATCATCGGATAATATGTTAGACGACGTACAGCACTATAAGTAATTGATTGTGCGATTAGAGTTCGATCTTACTTCTGACGTGTTTCTTGGACATACTCTCTCTAGTCAAATTTTTAACTGTATCGCGTAGAACGCACGAGAATCTATAATGCCTTAGTTACGACGCTTAATGTTAAGTTTACAAGAAGACTGATATGAATTTTCGTAAAAGTAACTGTTTGCCACAAGGCATAAAAATTGTTCGAGTGTAATCAAATTCTAATTTTGCGTCTTGTAACTGTGGTACAGATGGGGCATAGAAATTTTTTATAAGGACCGATAAAGTGTAAAAATGTAAAATAATCATAGAATCAATTTTTTTAATAATGTACATATACGTGTACATATGCCAATTTATAATGCGCGTGCAGGATATTCCAGAATCATCGTTCTCAATGAAACTGTCTCGACAGTAAATCTTTAATGAAAGAGAAATTTTTTATTTCTGTAATAAAGTTATGTATTTTATTATTTTCCTAGTTTTAATCGCTTGTAATTAGATCGGCGCGTCGATTTCAAAGATAGACTTCCTTTATTTTTCGCGTCTATAACTAGGATGTGGTGATTTTGGGACGCGTCGTGTCCTTGATTGATTGATCACGACGGGATGATCTACTTAACGCAATACTTAGAACCAAAGCTTTTAGCATACATAGTGTACATTTAGTACAAGTATCGTAGAACATAGTCTTTTTTTTTATATACATATACGTTTTTAGTAACACAGTTTTTAATTTTTTTCCTGTTTTAATTGTTCGCACATTTCATTTTACAGTATCTCAAATGTGCTACTTTGTACAGAACAACCCCTTGTGTACAACAAACACAAAGTATAACAAAATTGTATGTAAACTCTGTACAAATAGATTAAGTCAGCTATATTTAAGTACTTTTGTAAAGCTGGCGTACGAGATGCGAAATAATATATGTTTGTAATATACATCATGTTGATACTTATTAAGCGAATTAATAAATGTTACAAATATAACAGTGAGGGATACGCAAGAGCTTTTGCATCTTATCCTAGGATACTATATTACAAAACAAATCAAAATAAAGACTGAGAAATTCATTTTTTATTCAATATAAAAAAAATTTCTGAAGTATATATATACCGTGTAGTACAAATATAATAATTAATTGCTTTGATTTCGAAACTTCAGCTTCTCGCCGCGTGAGGTCACTGAAATCAAATGTCATCCTCAGAATTCAGATTCGATCGAATGCGTTTATGGAGAACTTTGTAAAGTCGTACCTCAGATCGCTTCCGTCATTGCACTGCACTTCACGCTCATACCGTTGTAACTTTTTGACTCCGATAAATGTAACGAGAATCTTTCGTTGACGAACAGCCCGCAGATATGGAAGAGACATGTCTGGAGGAGGGACCTGCGGTAAATTTCGAAAGAGCCACCCTAGAAATCGCTAATACCGACCGTGAGTTTCGCCGTCAATTTTTCTACTCTTTTAACTTTTGATTCTACAATAGAATAGGCGATAAGGTAAATTTGTAGTCGAGTCTGTTACAAACATTTCTCTGATTTCAGCTGTTAGACCGTCGATTGAGAGTACGGACAACGCTTCGAATCAAAATTCGGCTTCGAGAAATGTGTGCAACGTGCCATTCAAGCATATAGATGTTGATACATTTTTCACTGACAGGAACGAAGTCGTAGAAAGAGCGATAAGCGACTGTACTGAGAAATTGATAAAGCAGAACGATGACGAACTCGTCGGAAGTTGGCTTCTGACGGAGTACGTACTATCTATGTAAATCGAGCTACGTTCTTTGTTATTGTAATTCTGCATTGACAGAAAAATTTTTTTCTTTCAAGGATAAGTCTATGGGATACGGAAAAGGAAAGACTCGTATTATTAGCGACGAAAGCTCTTTACTCTGTGAAATACGACTTTATTTCTTTAAAGATACTTGACTTTAATCGAGTACCCATATTGCTATTTGATTCAATAGTTACGGGAGATTTAATTTATCCAACCTCGTCTCTTGCACCGTAAGTACTTTGATATCATAAATATAATTTGTGTACAAAGAGTTTATGAAGTAAACACAAGTTTGCAATTTCTAGCTTAAATGATATTTTTATAATATCCCCTTTTCCATTGAGATTTATAACGAGGAATACACACAGCAAATATATGTTTCATATGAGATGAAAATTACAGCTTCTGTGTTCTTGTCCGGTGCATATCGTTCATATCAATGTAATATATTCTAGACGATTAAACGGATTAGCGGAAGGTGTGTCGTCTGTAATTCATTGTGCCGTGCGTCAGGAATGGTCGTCTATTGCAGGTTGCTCCAATCTTACTCAATTTGAGCCTAGGTATACAGCTTTGTTGTCTATTAGCACTCATTTCTCACTTTGTTTCATCAATTTGTCTTATATGTATTCGTTTTTATCGCCTCTTCATTGTATTATATCTGTATTAATAAACATTTGTTTTATATAGTATGCTTTCTATGTATTTACATTATATGTAATCTTTATAAAACTGTTAATTTTGTATCTCATGTTGCAAAAGCTGAAATATCAGAAGAAGAAAAGTATACACATATAAAATTAAATATTTTATGTGTGTATATATATAAGACTTATGTGGAACAGAGGACAACCCTTGCCTCTTATAAAAAAGTGGAATCCGTTTGCGAGAAATATACCATGGCTTACATATGCTAGTCATCCATTGTTCTGGTACAAAGGTAAATGTTAAAATCCAATGTAAACAAAGAGATTGTAAATGGCATTGCCGTATAAAAGTTTTGCTATGTGTCCTGTTACTAATAAAAATTGTAATTAACAAGATGTCTTTTTAGATGGAACCGAGATCGTTAAAACGAGATTCGACATAGAAGCCTTCAATACTACGCTCAAAAGTTTACTACCTCGTGAAAGCAACGTTGTTAATATGCCGATCATTATAGAGAATTATTGCAGTCTTGGTGCCTTAGTGCACAATAGAAACGGCTTAGGTTTCTTTAAAGTGCGTGGCAAAATCAGTTTCTAATTTCTCTGATCTCATAGAATTGCAAACTTTGCAAGGTATTTCTTTGAGCTTGATATTTTTCTTCGCTTTTAGAATTGTTTTCCTACTACATCACACATGTGGTTTCAATTTTTTATACAGTATTATTGTAGATTTAACATATTGCAACATAATCTTCTATAATAAATAAATAGATATATATATAAATATATATTAATAATAATTAGTAATATTTAATATTATTATTAATGTATTATATATATAAATGTTAAATTATATATATTAAAACTAAATGTATTACAATATATATTTTTAGAATTATTTAATTATTTTCATAAAAATGATATATCCAACAGTAAAAAGTCTATTAATTCTAACATTCTTAACATTTTAATTAACTAAGTGCTGCATATTTTTTGCAGTGTCACATATAAATTATATATTATATTTATATAAGTGTAAAAATACATACATACATGTATGTATAATATATGTTATTAAATTATATATATATGTATATATATATACATATACATATATATATTTCCTGTTATATACTTACACTGTGCTAAATTATTTCATACAAAAAAGTACGAAGGTTTACCAAATTTATTCAATTTATAATAAAATTTTAAAATATTTCATATTAAAAACTTATATTACTCTTGGTACTTAAATTACTAGTATGTATGGAAAGATTTAGAAATAAAGTATTTATTGTAATTTCTTATTGTAGAATTACGCAATGTACTTGTATGTGTGTACAATGCTATGTCTATTTCTGAGTTAACAATAAATGAAAAATGTTGAATATATTTAACAACTTTGTAATTCAGAAAATGGCACAAGTATAACCTTGAGCAATCAAGATTTCGTGGAGTTCTATCTATAAAGATGTTTTCATAAATTTTTCCACTGTTACAATATATTATTTTTGTTGTTATATTATACATATTACAAAAAAGCAATTGCTTCTCTATACGAAAGTTCATTCATGGATTTGTTTTATATATTTTGTAGATTTAAAATCACAGATCATCAGCTGATTTATGTCAGATTAAGCTAGGTTGTATTAAGTTTAGGTTAGGACCTTGAGCAACAACAGATGTCTTGTTTATGTCATACACACCTGTTGATTCAACACGGCTGCACACGGCTGCGAATGTGTCATTTTTCTAAGTCACCATATGTTACTCGGCGAATTTTTTTTTAACGTTTTTCCTATTTGGATAACAACGGATATCACAAACGTAAACTGATCATAGCAATTGAAAATATAAAAAATTTATGAGTTTTTAAGTATAAATTTACTTTGGCATATAGAATGTCAATCTATGTAATATTATCGATGAGTCTATGATGATTTCATTTTGCTTTTATATTGTCGACACAAATGTGAATTGCATGCCACAGGTAATGTTCATCATATTGGTAATAATTGAAATAATCATTAAGTTAAATATATATTTGATATGAAAATTAATTATGTTGTATGCTTGCAGTCTTGTCGGAATAAGTTAACAAACTTTACAAATGATGGAGAATAAAAAATAAAACTCAAAGAAATTTAAAATGATACATGTGCAATGTCTGTAAGGATACATGCAATATTTAATCTTATTTAATGAGATAAGTGAATTCAATGAAGGTCAAACATAATGACTGAAGGCACGAGTATAGTATAGATTCTGCTTGATGTTAGATTACCTGGGATTAGTTTCGACAGAACTGGATGATTTGATTGTTTTTTTATTGTGATAACACAAAATGCGTTTACGATTTTTAAAACAGAAATCGATATTTCTGATCGGTTTTGGGATTGGCTTTGTTCTTCCGTTATTATTTGTTTCATTAAGAAGTTTTGTGATTGATTCTATTGTTGATCAAGATCCATCATTGTGGCAACCTGAATACTACCTGAATAAAAAACTTCGTCACGAAGAGATTATTTTACAGTTTTGGAAAAAGGTGAATGAGACAACAGATGTTAACAGTATTACATATCATGCTTGGTTAGCAGCACAAAACTTGAAACTATACCAAATTGATTTGGACGAGTACTTGTATGGTCGACAAGAAAGAGGTGACAAAAAAGAGAATCACACGGAATGGAATTGGTTAAAAAAACAAGTGTCTATTACATGTGTGATTTTTGTGGAAACGCTCAAGCTCGGAAAATCAATCAAGGCTACTTGGGGCAAACGCTGCAACAATGTATATTTCTTTGGACATCGCTTGAAGAATGCGGAATTGCCTATTATTGATGTAAATATAAAAATTGTGTCTTCTTGGCAACTGTTGTGCGAAGCTATGAATTATATTTGGAACCATCAAGTTGACAAATTACAGTGGATTATATTTGTGAAAGACAATACTATAATTATACCAGAAAATTTACGCTATATGGTTAGTCCACTGGATTACACACACGACTATTATTTGGGTCATCCAGTGATTCTGTGGGGTCAGGCTTACAATGTTGCTCAATCCGGATATGTTCTTAGTAGGGGAGCAATGAATAAAGTAGTGCAAATGTTCAATAGTACGGAAAAATGTATTAAGGGAGGAAAG